ATGTTCGGAACGTCAGGCAGGGCAGTTTGGGTAAACAGACGTGTCAGACTCTCAGAACAGGTAGAAGCATGTGTTTCGGGGTTCTCAACAAGGTGGTAGCGCAGATATTGATGGGAGTTTGAAAAATCAAATAGGAACAAAAAAATCTTTGCTGCTGACTTGTAGTGAGACAGTAGTAGGTGATGTCCCAATCTAGCAGATATGTCTGTTTTTTAATGAAGGGAGAGAAAATGGGAGGAGCATGGATGTTGTCTTTATGGAGCATGATAAGGTTGACCGGAAAGGGTTTAAAATTAGCTTGGCTGTTGAGATGAGTGGGTGATCAGGGGAGAATAAGACCAAATACAGCAACAGTGAAGAATATTGAACAGTCTGTTTTAGACCTTCAGGAAAAGTTTTTCTCCGGTCCAACGTAGACATAATGGAAAAGTGCCTCGGTCAGTAAAGCAGAGAGAGGTTACTATAAAAATGTTTATTCAAGAACTAGGAGGTGGGAAACTAAGCTGTAATGGTTAAGGGTTCTGATTATTTTTGCAAATGAAACAGAAGGGGTGGCAGAGGCATTGGTGTTGGAATGTTACCAAGGTGTTGGGTGTAAAGTTCAAAGGAGGGGAAAAAAGCATTCAGAACAAAGGGTTCCTTTGGTTAAGGAAAGAGATTTGCAAGGGACAAGGTAATTGGACTTGGCTATTAAGGTTATGGTATGATGTTGATGGTTGAGTGGTCATATTGTCATGGAATGTTAGGGGTTTGGGGAAGAGGGTTAAAGCTCGAGTTACAAGGAGGTTTGTTAATGAGAGAAGCCTATAATTCTATTTCTACAAGAATCAAAGTGGAAGTTGTAAGTCATATGTTACCGAGAAAATGGGAGGAAAAATTCTGAGTGGTTCAGCAATAACTCCTGCTGAAGGTTATGCTGGTGGATTAATTACCATGTGGAATGAGGAGTTTTGTTGTGAAGAAGAAGTCATTCATAGAGATTTGGCAATAAAGGGAATTATGGAAGGAATTTCAGGGATTTGTTGTTTTCATTAATGTGTATGGACCGAGTGTGGATGCAGATAAGGAGGTTTTTAGGGAGTTATTATCCTTTTGGAAATGTTGATTGTCCAGTGTGTTTAGGAGGAGATTTTAATGTTGTTTTGTCACAGGAAGAGAAAGATGGAGGTGTAAATTTGATTTCAATGAATATTTCAGAGATTTGTGAATAAAGCTAATTGATTGATTTTCCTATGTCTGGAGGTCGATATACATGGTGTAATAATAGGAAGTCCCGACGTATGTAGGTTGGATCGTTTCTTGAGAGAGAGGTTCCTAACTTTATTTCCCAAGTTAAACCAAATTCTGCAGTCAGGTCTGTTTCAGATCATAATTTGATTTTGTTGGAGAATAGTGATTGTAATTGGGGCCCTAAACCGTTCAGGATTTTATTATGTTTTGGAGGAGGTGGGTTTGGCGAGATGATGGAGGGGAGCTGGTTAATCTTTGTAAAAGAAGAAACAGGAAGTCCATTTCCGTGTGCTAAAAGGGGTGAAGGATGCGATAAAGAGATGGTCTAGGAAGGGTTATCTTGAGCTGCCAGGAAAAATCAATAGGTTGGAGGAACAAATTCCGGAGAGGAAATTGGCTATGTAACAAGGCCTTTACCTGGTGTCAATGAAATCATTAGTTGAAGCAAAAAAAATTGTGGGACCTTTAAGAAGAAGAATCAATTTGGTTTCAAAAGTCAAGATTGAAGTGGAGTTTGGAAGGAGACAATAACACAAGATTCTTTCATCAAAGTGCTGGAGCTAGAGGGAGGAGGAATTGTATTAAGTCCCTCAAGGTGGATAATGAAGTTACCTTGGATCCTAGCTTAATTAAAGCTTCGGTGGTGGAGTTCTTTAAAGAATTGTTTAACCAAAATAATACCTTGGAGGTGGAGGAATTAGATTTTGAGTTTTTGAAACTTTCGACAGAGCATTGTAGGGCTCTTGAGAAGCCTTTTTTTTTGAAGAGGAAATATGGGCAGCAATTGCTCATTCGGATAACAATAAGCTCCTAGCCCTGATGGGCTGAATTTTGGGTTTCTCAAGAAATTCTGGCCAAAATTGAAAGGAAATATCATGTTGTTTTTTAAGGAGTTTTATGAGGGGAAGGAGTGGGACTTAGAAGTGAATCATTTTTTCTATCTTATACCTAAGAAGCTAATCCGGAGGGGCTAGAAGATTTCATGCCAATTAGTCTCGTTGGAGGGCTATATAAATCCTTTCAAAGGTCTTAGTTAGAAGGCTGAGTTTGTGCATCAATGAGATAATAAGTCCATCACAATTTGCGTTCATTCCTGGGAGACAAATATTCTATTGTTCTTTTATTACAAATGAAGGAATTGATTTTTGGAGGAAAAAAAAGATTGAAGGGGCAGTCTTCAAGGTGGATTTAAGAGAGCCTATGATTCGGTGGATTGGTTGATCTTAATGAAAATAATGGGCAAATTGGGGTTTGGTGATAAATGGTGTTCATGGATTTATCGATGTATGTTAACAACTATTTTGGTTTTAGTGAATGGGACACCTACGGAGAAAATTCACACTGCAAGAGGATTAAGACAGGGTTGTTCGCTTTCTCCTATGTTGTTTAATTTGGGGGGTGAATTGTTACACTTGTAAGTAAAAGCAGTGGACAAGGTGCTGTTTTCGGGTCTTGAGTTAGGTGTTCATGATCGTTCCTTCATGCTCTCGCATTTGCAATTTGCGGATGATCTTATAATTTTTAGCAAGGCCTCTATACGTGATTTGTTGAATGTTGAAGGGTGCTACTAATTTTTGAGTTGTTGGCGGGTTTGAAGTTAAATCTGGCTAAGAGCAGATTGTTTGGAATTAATGTTGAGAAAGAGGTGGTTGTTTCTTGGGCTAAGGAAATTGGTTGTTCAGTGGGATATTTTGCATCGGAGTATTTAGGCTTACCTTTGGGGACCAAGAGGAATTCGATTGCCTTGTGGGAGCCAGTCGTACAGATTCACAACAAGTGACTGGATAAAAGGCAAAATTCTTTATCGTTGGCGGGTAGGGTGGTGTTGGTTAAATTAGTGTTGTGCTCCCTCCCCACTTATTATCTTTCTATCTTTCGAATGCCTTGTTCTATGTTAAATAAATTGAATTCTATTATGACATCCTTTCTTTGGGGGGAATCGACAGGAAAAATGAACATTCAATGGGTGAATTAGAATTTAGTGTGTAAGCCTAAAAGGTTGGGGAGGTCTAGGGATTCCGAATTTGTTACTTTTAAACAGGGCTCTTTTGGGGAAATGGGTATGGAAATTTGCTACAGATAAGGTTTCTTGGTGGAAAAAAGTGGTGTGCTGTGTGTATAACTTGGATACAAGCTCTAGCATGATTGGGAATTCTTGGACAGCTAGTGCCTCGTGGATTTGGAAAGGAGTAGTTAAAAATTTCTTTTCAAGTGATGGATTTGGGGATTGTCTAAGGAAAAATTTGCGTTTGAGAACGGGAAATGGAGAATTGGTGGAGTTTTGGCATGATGCTTGGTTGGGAGAAGTTCCTCTTAAACATCAGTTTCTGAGGCTTTTTACACTCTCGAATAATAAAGAGGGTAAAGTTATAGAGTTCAGGGTTAATAATGCTTTGGGTTGGGTTTGGGATGTTCAAATGAGAAGGAACTTGGTGGACTGGGAGGTTGAACAATGGTTGCATCTTGTCTCGTTGTTGAATAATATAAATTTGTCTCCTTCTGAAGAAGATTGTTGGATTGGTTAGGGAACGGAGAGGGTGTTTTTCAGCTAAATCTTGCATCAAGAATTTCTTTGACCAAGCTGGTAATGAGGGGATTGAGGGTATTTGGGAAAGACATTTTTGGATAGGAGTAGCACCCTTGTGTGGAAACTTTGTTTGGCAGCTTGCACACCAGAGAGTGGCCGTTAAGAAGGAATTGTTGAAGAGAGGAGTGGCTGGGATCGAGGATCCCCTATGTTCGACGTGTCGTAGATATAAAGAAACGGTTTCACATCTTTTTTTGCATTGTGAAGTAGTATGGGGTCTGTGGTCTAGATTTCTGAATTTATGGAATGTTTCTTTTGTGGTTCCAAGAATATGATTGACTTCATCATTTTATGGAATGATTTACTACTGAAATCAACTATTTGGAAATTCATCCCAAGGGTGGTGATGTGGACTGTTTGGAAACGAGGTAATTTTTCAGAAAGGGAATGTGGATGCAATACTGCTCTTCTTTCTTGTTCGATTTAGAACAACTACTTGGTTTGGTGCTAGATTTAAGGATGTGCATATCCCGTTTGATTCCTTAGGGGAGAATTAAAATTAGCTGATTCAGTGGGAAGACATATTAAGGGCTGTTCTACTTCATCGTGGTGGGTTCATCCTGATGGTATCGTTAAGCTTAACGTAGATGGTGCGACGGTGAGGGGTTGGATAAAGGAGGAATAGGTGGACTGATTAGGGACAACAGAGGTATGTTGATAGAGTCGTTTTTCAGAAAGGGTGGGGGCTGGTCCTCCTATAATGGCAGAACTATTGGCGATTAAGAGAGGACTGATTATTATCGAAGAATTAGGATCTGCCCTAAGTCAGAGGGTTATTCTAGAATCGGATTTGAGTAACACACTGAAATGGATTAAAATCCGGACTCATGCTCCCCTATGTTCAGTCCTTGGTGAAGGATATAGCTTCTCGTATGGAAAGACAAGGTATCATTTCAAGGCATGTTCTGAGAGTTGCTAATTGGGAAGCGGATAAGCTAGCTAAAAACGATATAGGTTGATTAGTAGGTTATGTATTTGGGTTGTTAATGTGTACGGAAATGTTTTGTTTTCCGTAGGCTGTTTATTTTTAGTCTTATGTATCAGTGTTATGTTGTATCATATGTTGTATCAGTAGGTTTTGGTTGTGGCTGTGTACTATTGTTCTGATTAATAAAATTCCTAGGCACTCTTTTCCTCCTTCCAATGTCCTTCATGTTACTGTTGCAACATGGGGGTATGAAGGGGTTTTTTAACAAGGCCTAAATTCCTATATAAAAAAAAGGGGAATCGTCTACCCATACATCATTCCAAAAGGATATTGACTTACCATTCCCCACTTGGATCCTAGAATGAGATCTTAAGCACTCTCCAGCCAAGTCACTCTTCAAGTAGCTACTAACAATTCCTTTCCATATCCAAAAGTCTTGGGGAGAATACACCTTACTAATTGTCATAGGCTTAATGTCAACATTATGTTTGCTGCAAATTAAGTTCTTCCACAAGGTATATTTTCCATTTGCAAACTTCCAAATCCATTTCCCCAACAAAGGCCGATTAGTTAAGTCTAAATGTTGAAAAGCAATTCCTCACGCGCCTTTGAGCCCCTTCAAGAAATGCTGCTAGATATAAAAAAAATTAATCTAAATGTTGAAAAGCAGTGCCTAACGCACCTTTTGAGCCCCTTCAAGCACCTTATTAAATTTTTCTCGTGCAAACTCAATTAAGCGTTTTGGACTTACAGTCTTATGCCTCGGCTTTTAGATGCTTCTTTTTAAACACTGTGTCATACAATGGTTAATATCATAAAACTTTGGTAGGACTATGCTTTACTATTTAACACGGAGGTGAATTTTTTGCAAGGGAAAGAAGGTGAATTTTTTTGCAAGGGAAAAGAAGTTGAATTTATATGTATCTGTCAGTATATGACAATAATCAAAACTGAAAAATCCTATGGGCACACCACTTATTCTCATTTAATGTGCGATGTTGGTGCCAACAGTTCTGATACATGTTATTTTGGGCAATAAAGTATCAACTAGAGTTATTAGATATTGCTTTAACACTCATATTGAAAGGAAGTGAAGCTCCCTTTGTTTCAAGTTTCGACATTGTTGCTTGGTTGAAAATAGCCTGTTTTCTTTAATAGCATGGACAAATCTATGGACCTTAATCAGATAGCATCAAATGCGGTGTTTTCATCTGGTTGCATTTGTTGACTTACAATTGTGAGATTCCCGACTTCTTCAAATCGTATTTTTAATTTTGACTGTCCTGAAATTGCTTGCTTTTGTAATAATAGAATTTTATTTTGAAGTAAAGAGGCAGTCGGATAGCTAGAACCCTTTAAGAATTGAGAATAAATAGGTGTAAATGTCCATTGGACATGTATGCATTTTTAGTTCAAATGGTATATGCATAAATTTCTGAACATTGATCAGTTCCAGATAGGTAATGGTAGGCATCAGATCCACTCACCTTCTCTTCTTTCAACAAATAAGGAAGCTTTATTAGGTCTTATAGCTCTGCTGGGTGGAATATTCCACCTGGTGATGTGGAAGATTCCATTGCAAATTTTGAAAATGATTTGCATTATTTCAAAGTTGATTATCCAAATTCTGGAGATTCACATAAATTTTTAGATGATACTTGGGAGCAAATGGAAGGGCTTTGCGCTACATTGGCCCTTAAAGGAATAAACCAGCCTAATTGAACAGTTCCTAGTTGATGTGATTTTCTGTGCGATGCTCTCTATTTGAATGCGTAAGGAATGCGTAGTGCCTCTTTCCATGCCTAAATTTCTGGACATGGGTAAGGAGAAGTGGTTAAAAAAATTAAAAAAAATGAAATCCTGATGCAATCCCTGGATGCATTTCTCAGCTAATCTATCATTTTGGGAGGCATAAATCCTTTTCTGTTTCAACTGAAGGTTTGTAGGTTGTTGATAGAATTTGATTGATTTGCCGAGTTTATGTATTTGAGCTTCTGTAAGATGCAGTGTTGATATTAAGATGTATTTCGAGTCTTATATTAGTTGCTTTCTCACCCTAGTGTTAGACCATCTGAGTGCATATCTCCTGGAAAGAAGGTTCTGGAGGACATTTCTCACTGGAGTTTATCCAAAATGGAGAATTTAATATCGGAAGACTCCTTTCATGTTAATGAGCTTCAGACTCTTGCCTCTTTAGTCTTCGTCAAAGGCATCTGTATGCTGTGGGTTGTGTCCTTTTTCCTAATTTTATTTTTTGCCACCTTTTTGAACATTCAAGGGAATCGTTGATCAGATTTGTTCCATGGTAAAGATAGCTAGAGAATGCTTAGACTCTCTTTTTCCCCTCGCTAGCAGGGAGTAAACAAGGTGTATTCATGGGAAGGTCTTTACAGTATTTTAACACCATGGATACTCCAGATAGAAAACATTGTTTGCCTTGCTCTCTAGTTATCTTTCTTATTAAGCCCTAAAGTGTTTTGATTCTGAAAACATTCTTCTTTAAATCCCTTATTGCAGGTCACTTTTTGCGTCTGAAAAAATTCGAAGTGGGGACTGCATACTTAAAGTTCCTTACAGTTTGGTATATGATTTACAATTCTTTATGTTTAACTCTTATTCGATTGCCTAAACACAATGAGGATCTCAAGTTGTAAATTGTTTTCTTTGAATCTTTCAGCATATAACAACAGACAGTCTTCTTCCAAAGATTAAAGCTTTACTAAGTGATCAAATCGGGATTATTTCAAAGCTAGCTATCGTCCTTTTAGTTGAACAAAAAATGGACCAGGTAACAATAATATTATTCTTTTTAATCTTGTCTTCAAAAGAGAAAATTCTTATGAAGAATTGCTTGTGCGTTGGTTCTGCATTATTATGTATTTAATGGGAGTTTATGGTGGTTTGTAGAATGTCTTTTGTTTCCATGTTTTATGTTTGTTTAAAAGAAACATCCAGAACCAGATGACTTAATTATATTTATATCTTTTACAATAGGATTCCGAATGGGCCCCTTACATCCGTCGCCTTCCTCGACATGGAGAAATTCATAGTACGGTAAATGTTTCCTCATCTGAACGGTTTTGAAGCTTTTTGATCCATATGCCGAGTAGAATTTAAAATTTTGGCATGAAATCCATATTGTTGTAACTGTCTAAAAGAGTATGTTGATCTGAATCTTCAATTTTCTTGTAGTGCTCATGTCAGTTATGCATATCATGATATAGGGATATGACCGTGGAAGGGCCCTCTAGATACATGGAAAACTTGGAAAAAAAAAGAATGTAGCTATTTCATACCTATACCTGTATCCGACATTCACACCCGAGACAGAGTAACATAGTAAGTGTTGAATGACACTGACAATTGGGATGGAAATAGTTTCTCTTGTATTTCTTTGAGCTGCAGAGCAGTTCTTTTAGTTATCACATGTTTCCTTTTACTTTGCAGTTCTGACGAGGAGAAATTGTTGGTATAACCAAATAATATTATTAGTAATGTCCCATTTCTCAGTTAAACTTTATGAATACCATTGTTATGGTTAGTTGTAACATTGTCAAGTAAAACATTTTGAAAGCTAAATCTGTATTGTAGCCTTAAAAACTTGACTAGATGCCATTATGCTTAGAATAAAAAAATCTGCTTCATTTTGGGATATGGTATACATTTTGAATTCCATGCCCTTGTACAATCCCTTGTATATGTAACTGTAAGCATTTGTTGCATTAGTTTTGAAAAATATGTTAATTGGTATTTTTTTGTTCCCCTATAGATTTTCTGGAGTGAATACGAGTTGGATATGATTCGTCAAAGCTCAGTGTATCAAGAAACACTTAATCAAAAGGCTAAAATAGAAAAGGACTTTGCTGCAGTTGTGCCTGTAAGTAGTCTCACTATTTAATATGATGATATGCATACGAGCAGAATATGTCTCTGGTTCACAATGATAAGTAATTCATGTGTCTATATGTGACAATTCTTGATTCAAGTCCTATTTCAATTTCGGGGATAAAGTCATAAAATAACAGAACTGCTTGAACTTATACAGAAACTTCGCTTTTTTGTTCTTATAATTGTCCAATTGAGTTCTAATTGATAAAGCTAATTTAATCAAGTAGAAAAGTCCTACTTTGTTTTCCTTGGAAGATGTGATTAGGACAAGGTTTTGCATATGATTCAGGCCCTTCAGCAGTTACCCGATCTTGAAAGCATCACACTTCAGGATTTCATGTGTGCATATTTCTCAGGTCTGCCCTTGTTTTCTAATGTAGTATCTATCTACAATTGAGTTAAAATCAATTTCATTTTTTTACCCCAAAAAACAGAGCTTATGTCAATAACAGGTTTATTTAGTTTTTCAAAATTCTTTCTCAACTATTTTTATTATCAATCCTTTAAGCCCTTACGCATTTGATGATTAATTATGCAAATTAATTAAATTTGGTGAACCGTATCAGATAACTGGTGACTAGGATTTTAGCAGTATGTAGTCCTTGTATTAGTTTTAATTTTCTTATTAGTTTGTTGTCAATGTGGCAGTAACATCTCGTGCCTGGGAAAGTTCGAAGGGCCTATCTCTGGTATTTCGTCTTAATAACATCATTTTGTTTTGGAGAGTTTCAAGCAGTTACTTCAATTGTTTTTTTCTTTAGTGCAACAGCTCTTAGAATTATTATTAATCATTATGTAGATTCCATTTACAGATTTTATGAATCACGATGGGATTTCAAAATCAATTGTATTATTCGATGATGATAAAATGCTGTCAGAGGTATGGTGACTTAGCATTAGTGAGAAAATTATATATAGATACTGATAGAGATAATGCACTGAAGATGAACATTATTGTTTTTACTTCTATACATCAAATGTTGTCTGCCTATACAAAATTGTCCGAAATTCTTATTTCTGATTTGTTTCATCTTTTAATTGACTCGAGCAGGTTATTGCTGATCGTAACTATGCTCCTGGTGAAGAGGTTAGGACCACTGCAGTGGAATGGTTTCCCTTTCCATTTACGTGGGATAATTATTATATGAGTTAATGGCATTATATGTCCTCAAAGTATAACTCTTATTTTAAATCGGTCCCTAAACTTTTAAATGTTCTAATTTCATCCCTAAACTATGATTATAATTCTAAATTAGTCCTCAAACTTTTGAACATTTCAATTTCATCTCCAAGTTATGACTTTCATTCTAAATTGGTTCTCAAACTTTTTGAACTTTCCAATTTCATCCCAAACTATAAGCATATACTAATCACATCCCTTGTTAATAAAATTGTTAGGCAAGTTATATATTATATGTTTGGAAAAAAACAAAATTTAAGTTAAACTATAGTTGAAATTAATTACATATTTAGATGAATTTGGGAATGAAATTGGAATATTCAAAAGTAGGGGGACTAGTTTAGAAAGAGGGTCATAGTCTAGGGATGAAGCTAGAATGGTCAAAAGTTTAAGGATTAATTTAGAACGAAAGTCGTAATTTGGGGATGAAATTGGATCATTTTTTTGAATAAGGAAATTGGAACATTTAAAAGTTTAAGGGCTAATTTAAAATGAAGGTTATAGTTTGGGGACATATAAACTCTTATATTTGTTAATTTTTAGCTTTATTACTCCAACTCTTCATTTTCCTTGAAGTATCCGTCTTCAAAACTTGGCTTCACCTTTAAAAAATACTTGTCTTCAATAAATATTTCGACATGAATATTAGGATATAAACTTACAAGGACCTCCATATAGACTAAAAAGCTTAGAAAGAGTTAAGCATGTACGTGTTGACACACACTCGATTCCAGGTAACATAGGATCAAGGGACCATGGTATTATATTGATGCAGATTGTGGACTATACTGTCCACTTGAATTCATGTTGTTTGAATACTCCTTCCATTTTCATATATTTTTCATAAAATCTTAGAACTTGGTCTTTTGAAGTTTTGATGCATGCTTTGAATATTAATATGGTTTCTCTCTGTGCTAACTGGGAATGTCATTTTAGTTGAGCGTTCGGTATTGTGTTACAGAATCTGAAGTTCATTTTTATTTTTTGTGTAGGTAATAATAAGTTATGGAAAACTTCCAAATGCCTCACTGCTGCTTGGATTTTGGTTTCACACTTCCCGACAACATTCACGACCAGGTTAATTTTGAAAGTCAATTTGAAGTAATTATTTTCTTTGGTATAACTGTGTAAGCTAGAACATTATACACCTAATTTACTGACTCTTATATTTTTCTTAAAGTGCGTGTCCGAAACTTATGCTTGATGCATATCCACATATGTATGCGATATAACCCTCCTAATACATGAATGAAAACTTTAAAAATTTGAATATGTTGTCAGGCATATTCAAATTTTGCATTTGCACAACCACTCTATTTTGCATTTGCATGTTTTCTTTATACTGGATTATGCACAACCACTCTGTGGGTGACATAAATAAAAGAAAAAAGGTGGTAATTGATGACATGTGAGGAAAAATAAGTGAAATAAAGGATGATATGCAAGTATCAAAATGCTGGGAAGTTTTGAAAAAGGTATATAAATTCCTATATTAAGTAACATTTACATAATTTATTTTATATATATACACTATGATATAATTTGGGTTGTGCCATTCCCTTAAGTGACCTGGGCATCACTTGATTCAGTGATGCTAAACTTAGTCAACCCATTTATTCATATTGTAGATTTTTTTCTTTCTCTACATTTGTAATTCATCATAGTCCAAGTAAAAAATTATATCCACATACAATTGACATAACTGTGAGTTATGGTTTTGTGTTCTTTAAAATAACGATGTTTTCGACTCAGGTACAAATCCAGTTGAATATCCCATATGATATTCTACGTGAGAAGAAATTGGAACTTGTGCAACATCATACACCGAAAATTAAAGACTCAAGTGTCGTAAATGCTCTGAAGACACTTTTGTAATCAAGTTGGTATTGATGCTTAATTCTTTAACCTTTTATCTTTAATGATGAACTCACAATGTCAGTAGATGTTAAAGGGTTAGGGTGAACGCTATTTATTTTGAATGTTTCTATGACATTTCATTTTTCTTTAAATATCCCTGTCCGACGCATGTCTGAAGATGGATATGAGGATATGGCCCTCCTAGAATACGTATGTCCAAAACACTCGAACACAAGTCCAAGTAACTTGGCCGTTTTGTAAATCGCTTTCTCTGCTGACTTTATATTTAGTTCTTGAATTTGACACTCTACTGCTACTGTTTTAATATGGGAAGTCGTATGATTCCAAAGTCATGTTGCTGATTTCTGTTTGTAATGATTGCGTTATTAAACAGGGAAGTTAGATCTCCTCAAGGAAAAGGGAAGGGTCTTCCACAGGCACTGCGTGCATTTGCTCGTGTTGTGTGTTGCAACTCTCCCCCAGGTTTTATTTGAAGAATCCTACCATCCAAATGTGTGTTTAACTGGTGTTTGAGAAAGTTTAATTTTAGGCCATGCAGACCTGACATTATTTTCACTTTGAACTTAATCGTCAGAACTTAATGACTTGGTCATGGAAGCTGAACGTATTGATGGTCGGTTAGCTCAGTGTCCCTTAAAAGATAGCCGGAGAGAGTTTAAGGCACATCAAATGTTATTATCTCACATCACTCGCTCAATGCAGAAATATGATGCTTCCATTAAGGTAAATTTATTTCCACTTTTCATGCCTCTTATATGTATAAAAAAATGGAAAAGATCGAGTAAACCTTTGTGGAATATGGGTTGGAATCAGGATGAAAGAATATCACTGTATGTTTAACTTGTACAGATGAAAAGGAAGAAGCAAACTCGTGGTCTAAGTGTTACATAAAATGCAACATTCATATCATTTTGAAAATAACACATTGTTATGAACTATTTTACAAATATATGAAAAAACTTGAAAGGTATCAACTATACTTGTGTTTGAACATACCCATTATCTGGCACCCACCGAGTTCAATATATAGGTTATGAACAAAAGGGATATATCAAGATGATAGAATATTATTGCATGTTTTAATTATAAAGATGGAAAGGAAGAAACAAACACATAATAAAAAATGACTTAAAATGCAATGTCATCTGCGGTTCAACCTAATAATTTAAGGCTAAAAAACGATAAGAATGAACGCGATCGAAAATGCTATAAAAAAGTCATAATATTTTAAGTTGGACGCAACCTAAAGTGATACATTCTTCGTAATTTTTTCGGTTGAACCTAAAACGTTATCTTCTTCCTAACATTTTCGGTTGACAATCGAAAATATTACATTCTTCGTAATGTAACATTTTAGGTTGTAACTGAAAATACTATGAAAAAGATAACGTTTTAGGTTGCGTCTAACTTAAAATATTATGTTTTTATAACATTTACAGTCGTGTTTATTTTCGCCACTTTTTAGTCTTAAATTAGATCGTCTTTTTTATAGACTTTTGCAATGTTCATATATTTTTGAAAATAATATGTTGTTAGAACTGTTATTCAGACTTTTTTCTTGAAGTATTTGTATCCGATATCAATGTAAAATCCTAGAAAAAGAATTTGGTTAAACCTGTGTTAGACAAGATAATAAAATATTACTTTTGACTTTTTCAGATGAAAAGGAAGAAACAAACTCTTCATGGTAAACTGACAAAATGCGATATTCGTATATTGTAAAGACATTCTTATACGAAGTGTTAAAACAATTGAATGAAATAATGTATGTTCATATGTTTTCAAGAGCTTTTCACTAACTTAAAGCTTCTGGAGATGCATTTGCAGTCGCTCGCTCTTTTCAACTTCCCCTCAATGAGTAATACGTTCGCTCTTCGAAGGCAAATGGCTCACAATCTCCTTACCGGTGAACTTCGTGTCCTGAGTTATGCGTCCGCATGGTTGGACAATTACTGTGCGATTTTGAAATCAACAATTAACTGTTCGAGTCATTGATATTAAAAGCAAATCCCAAAGGTAATTGCTCTACCTTTTCCTTTTGTGAACTACTTTGATGGGTAAACTCAATGCTTGTTTATTGAACTTTTTTTTAGGGTATAGTGAACCGTAAGCACTTAAGGTGGTTTAAGCAAGCTTTTGGAATCATCCTTATGCCTCTAATTAGGATTGTAAATAAGACGAGATAGATCGTGAGCTACTCGAGGTCGATTTGGTCAAAGTTCGATCAAATCTCGAATTGAATGGACTCAAGCTCAAAATCGATTTGAATTCTTAACGAGTCGAAACGAATTACTTGATACACGACTCGAAAAACTAACATGCAACTCGAAAAAAAATATTAACAGTACAATAATTTATTCTTTTTTTTAAAATACAATATAAGGTTTTCATGTATTTATGATTCAAGTTAAGTTTGAGAATATTTTGAGTTCAAGCTTTTTCAAGCTCATGGCGAGCTTTAGTTTTTGATTTAGAGTTCGAGTCGAGTTTCACAATATAAGGTTTTCATGTATTTATGATTCATGTTTGAGCTTCAATCGAACTAAGCTTAAGAATATTTTGAGTTCAATTTTTTTTCAAGCTCATGTTGAGATTTAATTTTTGATTTGGAGTTCGAGTCAAGCTTGACAATTTTAAGCTAGTGAGTTTTTGAGTCGAGTCGAGTTCAACAATATTCAAGTTTGACTCGACTCATTTACCCACAATTCACTATTTGGATCAACGATGAAAAAGTTGATTCTTAAAGTTAAGAATCTTGCTCCTTTTTTTGAACTGTATCGATGGGTAATCTCTGACAAGATTGAAAATTACGTAGTAAAGTGAAAACTGTAAACGTGCTTAAAAAAGCTTTTGAGTTCTTTTTGAACTGTATAGATGGGTATCTTAATGCCTGGAGTTTTATAGAAAATTTTCAGGGTATGTTGAACTGCTTTGTAAGTACTTGTAGAGATTTAAGTCAATTTTTTAAAGTCATTCGTTCACCCACAGGGCAAGGGTAGTAAAAGACTGAATTGGCTGTTTAAGACTTTCTTAGCTCATCTTTGCAATCATGATCTAACTGCTTTTAAAATTTAGCATGTTGCCCTGATGTGCAAGTAGGGATTGTAAAATTCAATCTTTCCGACTAATTTAGCGTTTGATCGTTTGGTTCTTTTATCAAAGACAATGATAGTAAAACTCGAAATTGGCTGTTTAGGACTTTCTTGGGTTAATCTTGCATTTACGGTATAACTGCTCTCAGGGAAAGTCTAAATCAGTAGCCTAATTTGAGCCTAAAAACGGTGAAAACAAATGCGACCAGAAACGTGAGGAAAATCATGACATTTTAGGTTTGACTCAACCTAAAATGTGAAAATATTATAGAAATTATTTATAATATTTTGGGTTGCAATTATAAAAAAATTAAGGGTAAATTACGCATTTAGTATCTAAATTATTAATTTTGATTCGTTTTAATATCTAAATTTTTAATTTTTACAAAATCATATTTAACATTTAGTTTTTGTTTCATTTTAATACTCTTTTGTTAAAACTCAATTGCGAAGCTGATATGATATTTTTAAGTCATTTTCTTAATTTTAAAATTATTATTTATATTATTATTTAATTAATTTTATTCAATCAATGAGATTGAAATACATGTCACTACCATATTGAGAGAGAGAGAGATCGCCTTTAAGAAGACATAGCCAAGAATCAAACCCGAGTGCCCTTAGATGAAGAACAAGCTCCCAACCATCTATGGTAAGCACAATGCTGGAATTAATTTGCCAAAGCATATATTTAACTTATAATAAACTATCACTTTTAAATAAAAAAATTTATCTGATATGTGATTCGAACTTAAGACATCTCACAAAATTATTCAATTATTTAACTAGTATATCAGATCAAGAATTGATTTAATACATGCCAAAATTATTATTTAACTTATAAAAATATTAAATTAAAATTGAAAATCTTTCATTTTAGTTTAAAATAAAAATAATTATATTTATATTTTATAAAATAAATAATAATTTATTTTAAAAATTTAATTCATGATATTTATTTATGATAGAATACAAGCTTTAAATTATTTTAAAAATAAAAATAATATATAATAAGTAATTTAAAATTATATGTATTTAATTATTTAAACTTTAAATTAAAAAATTAAATTAAATAAAAACAAAAAAAATTAATAAATAAAATTTAAAATTATTTATACTTATTTAATAATTAAAAATTTAATTAAAAATTTATAATTTGTAATTATTTATGAAAATAAGTAAAAAATTATATTTGAAATTATAAAGATAGAATATTAATTTTAATTTGATATTATTAATTAATTAATTACTGAAATAAATAAATATAAATAATAATTTTAAATAGTTGTTTAATTATTTTTTATTTCTAAATAAAATGAGAAAATGTTTAATTTTAATTTAATATTCTTATAAGTTAAATAATAATTTTAGTACGTATTCTAATGAATTTCTTTTATTTTATAGTTATTGTTTAATACTAGTTAAATTTATGCTTTGGCAAAATGATTTAATGTGATGCTTAACCAAGATGGTTGGGTGCTTATCATTTCTCCAAGGACGCTTAGGTTTGATTCTTGGTAATGTCTTCTCAAGAAAAATTCCACTATCTTATTGGTTGAATAAAATTAATTAAATAATAATTTAAAAATTAAGAAACTAATTTTAAAAATGTCACGTCAGCTCTGCCGTTAAGTTTTTAACGGTCGAGTACTAAAATGAATTAAAAACTAAACGTTTGGTATTTTTTGAAAAAATTAAAAGTTTAGGTACTAAAACGGATCAAAATTGATAGTTTAGGTATGAAACGTGTAGTTTACCTAAAAATTAAATAAAATGGTAAAGTTGAGAAATATATAATATTGGTAAGTCTTGATACTCATATGAATATCACTACTTAAGTGTTAAAAAAAGAGAAATGAAAAAGTATGAAATTATCAAATTCAGGATAAATCTCGACATTTAGGTAAAGTATCATGATGATCGAAAGAGTGGGTTGGGATCGAAAGAGTGGGTTGGAATCGAAAGAGTTTAAGTACTAAACGTGTAGTTTACCTAAAAATTAAATAAAAAGGTAAAGTTAAGAAATATATAATATTGGCAAGTCTTGATACACATGAATATCGGTACTTACATGTTAAAAAAATGGGAAAATGAAAAGGCATGAAAGTTTTGAAATTCGGGATAAATCTAGACATTTAGGCAAAGTATCATGATGCTCGAAATAGTGACGAAATAGAAAACTTTTTCAATTGTAATTCCTAAACCATTGTAACGTAACATTATAAATTTAACAAAAAAATGTTAGCTTTATATAACATAATCAGTTGTAACTGAAATTGTATTGAAATCAAGAACTTATTTGGTTGTATTTCATAAAACGAAAGTGATATAACATTTTGGGCTGAAACAAGAATTTTTAAAATTTGTATAACATTTCAGGTTGATGAGGACAAAATATTAGGTTGAAAATCATTTAAAATTTTCGATTTTAGAAGTTAATAAAAGGTGTTGAGATGAATGTTTAAAAAAAATTGTTGCAATGCACGGTGTGATATATATTAAACGACTGAAGAAAGACGTGATATTGTTAGATAAATTTGTGTAAAGTGCATATTGTTGTATGTAAACAAAATGTTGGATTTGATTATATGTTTATGAATCAAGGATAAGCTAAACAACATATTGGTGTGAAGTGCATTTTGTTGGATGAAAGGAATTGGTTATGAATTTGTGTTATGAATTGTTTTTAATTCAATTAATTTAGGTGTTTTTTAAATGAACAATAAAATATTTGTGACAGATAGGAAAAAAAATGAAGTCAAAGGATATGACACTTACTGTTTGAGGATACATCAGAAATTAGGAAGAACATATTGGGACAAATTAAAAGTCGGAGAAATCATTTAGTCCATATATACACTTCTAGTAATTACAAATCTAGTTGTATAATATTTATTTGAATATCTATTGGTTAAAACTATTAAAGAAAAAAAATTATTAAAAATTTGAAATGTTTACGGTTTGAGTGAATGTGAACAAATGAAGGAAGCAGAAAAGAAAATGACCAGTGAGATATGTAAACTGATTTTGAGTAGGTTAACGTAAAAGTAAAATTTGTAGACAATGAATATTATGTAGCATCAAGTTATTGATAAAAAATATTTATGGTTAATTGCATGTGAGAAAAGAAGTGCAAGAGAAATATAAGGAGATGTGTGAAGAGGAGAAAGAATTGTTTAATGAATTGATAAAAAAAAGCATAAAGAAGAATATAAAGAGTGGAAGAGTGGACAATTAAATAAGGCAATAAATAAATATTGGAAGGTGAATTTCTTTTTTACAAAGGTATTATAAAAACACTAACATTATTTATTCTAAAAATGTAGGAAGTTTCAATAATGTGTAGCCTTAACAAAGTGTCGAAATTGATGGAAGACTTGAAAGGAAAGAATAAGATGTAACCCCCTAGACCCGGTCTATGCGTTTAGACTAAGTCTAGTGAATACATTCATGATTCTTAAAGATATTGTTCCGAAACCATTATTCAATCATGGTAAAACCACATTATAAATGACGTTTATGAAATTATAATAATTTATACTATAAAAATACATCTCATAAATATAATGAAGAAAAACAAATTAATTTAAACATGTCTTAAAAATCCAAATTTACGATAACCCAAATATAAATAGCAAAGGAGAAATCATTATAAAATCCAATACTTTAAAATAAGACCCATGTTACCAAAATAGTGTCAACTTAAAAGATAAAACATTACAATACGATATACTTCAAGAGATATGTTGATCCTCTAAGTGCTCAATCAGGTGAATCTAACCAACAGTATCTGAAAGGGGAAAACATTTTCGAAAAATTAGCTAGGCTCAATGTGTCCCAACATTACTATAAAATCATGATAGGTACACTAAACAAATCATAGTCCAGTAAATCTCATAAAATTATACTACAGTAAATCTCATAAAAGAGTTACCCTAAGGGAACATCTTAGGGCCTGAGAGCCTACCCAAGATAGATTTCGGGGCTGTGGGTCCTACCTAAGAACACATCTTTGGGCCGCAGGGCCTACCCGAGAATGATCTCAGGGCCGCAGAGCCTACCTAAAGAGTCACATTAGGTCCGTAAAATTTTTTCAGCTTGATCAGAGTTGTACTTTATAAATTCATATTCCAAAAATTCAATTGCATCGTGACATAAATTCCATAAATCCATAAACATGGTAATCATATACCATTTCAAAACAAAATCAGATAGCGGTCATTATCCATAAACCATCACATTAAATCGGTGCATCAATAAAACATTAACCAAAGAA